CGCAAAAAAAAAAAAAAAAAAAGAAGCCTATGAATTTTCCCCTTAAATTATCAAAATCCTGATTATTGATTTCTTTCCCCCAAATTTGAACAATGTCCAATAGCAATATGTTCAAAAGGAAAAGAATGCCAAGTACACTAGGATGTGAGATTACTTACTAAGGGAAGGATATGAGAAAAATGACCTTAAAATAATTCAGTGATGTATTTTAAGACAATCCCACAACTTGGACAACCAGAACTGAAAAGAACTCATTTCACTTGACCTGTTCTACTTAGCAAAAGCAAACTTTTGAGATGTTCTGGCTTCCTTTATAATTAATTTTCAGGAAAGGCTACCCATGATAATAGCTAACATTTATTAAGCATGTAACTTCTGATTTAATATTTACAACTACCCAATGAGGTAAGTTATCATTATTCTTTTATTTTACAGATGAAGAAACTGAGGCTTAGAGATGTTAAGAAACTTGTCTGTGGGTCTGTGATCACCCAGCTCCTAGGATAAGGGTGGCAACACCCATCTAATATTAGCTGGTCACTACCAACAATGGCTAGACATTTACCACTACTGCCTCAGGTGCTATGATTAGCCTCTGGGAAAAGAAGATGGCTGAGGTCCAACAGAGGAAGAAAGACATGTAAACTCTAAGTACAAACACTGTTTTATAAGAACTCTACAAAGGGCATGCAGGAGGCACAAAAGAGAGGGATGGGTAGGAAGGCAATGAATTGGTTAAACTCTGCAAATAAAGTAATTGTAATAGTCAATGTTTCTTTAAATAAAGAATACCTAAAATGTATCTCCCAGTCAATATACTTTCTTTTGAAAGTATTAATTTACTATTTTTATTCATGAACATCCATTAGCGTATGTTACGCTAGTCTAATTTCAGAGTATATAAAACCCATACACATTCATAGCACACATTTACGTATACACAAAACAAATGCATAAAATCTAGATATTGAATTATTATTGTTTTAATGTGGTTTGGGGAGGAAAGTGTACTTTAAACACAAAGTCTGAACTGTCCCCCTCAGTGACAAAAATTACAGTAAGAATGAAAGGAATGTACTTTTCTCTGTGACTCTTCTAAAGTAGCAGAAGAGTGTTTTAAGCTTCTCTGGTTTCCTTGATGAACGTCCTTCAAACAACCTGAAAGAGATGGAAAATAAAAAGAGGGTAAGGATGATTCTAAATGCCATAATGATTCACAGAAAACTAAATCTATACTGCTACCAAGTAATAAAAGAAGTAATTCTTCCAGAAGGCAATTCTGTAACAACAGAAAACTGGGAAACTGTTTGGATTCAAACAGAATCTGAAGAGGACTAAGACCAACTAGAACCAGGCTTCTTCAAAGTTGTTCATGTCAGATGGCACTCTCTAACAACCATGTTCCTCCAGTCTATCTTTCTGTGGGGCACCATCTGGTCCCCCAAAGTCAATTAGGCCAGTGAGTTAATGCTTGATCATGGCAAATACTATATATAATTCATAATATTACCAGATAGTTAAATGATTGAACGAAAATGGTATCTGAAAAAAAATCCACATGACTGTTTGGGGGTGGGGTGCAGCTAGGATAACAACAAGCAGGTATGACAAGGTACTGGCAGACTGACCAATCCTTGGTGATTAAACACATATACCCTTCGTATGGTAACCAAAACAATGCCTACCCTATGTCATCCAGTTTCCAGCAACCTGGACTTGCACTACTTAATTTAGTTTTCTTTGAAATGACATGGCATTGTTATTGGTAACACATAATGCAATTTATCCTGAGGAAAGAAAAGCAAGGCTTTGAAAGCATATGACCTCAGTAAGTAGTTCAACAAAAGATTTCTAACACAAAAGCATGCTTTCAGGCGCAAGATCTAGCTTTACAAAGGCATTTAAAAATTGCAAAGAAATTCTGTGGCTATAAACGATGAAGTATTAGTCATCTGCTTCTAGTCATATACTCTTGCTCTAAAACCAGAAACCCTTCAAGTAAAAGTCCACTTTATTAGTGCCAAAATGGGTAAAATTTTTCATGATTAGAAAAACAAGCTTATGTAACTATGCAGAGAGGTAAAAGTTAATTCTATGAGAAAATCCTATTGAGCAAATGAAATGAATTAGGAAAAGGGAAGGAAATGTAGATTTCAAATGATCCTGTTTCCAATGATCTGAAATTCTTTATTCAGGGTCAATTTCTGAGAAAACAATTTACATGAATACTTATTTCCTGAAAAGAATGCTAAATGTCAGAAAGCATTTTAACGAAATCTGAAATCTAATTAATGTTTAAAAGTAGTTTGAGTGCCTGTGTGAAAATTTTTTCTCATCTAAAAGACTGTATTTTCTAAAATGTTTATAACAAATACTCTTAAAATCCAGCTGCCTGCTGAAAGAAAATCTTGGCGAACACAGGTTTCAGTTCGGTTTCTTCTGCAAAATGTCAGCCAGAATAGAGCTTGTTTAAATCAAAATGACAGTCAAAATGAAGACGCCACTTGGCAGTTTAATTAAACATCCTGTATCAAATAAATATGATTTACCGAATGAATACCTTGGGATCCATCGCAAAATCCCTTTCTAGGTTTACTACTTAGTAGAGGGAATCAGGATAAAGACAAAGGCAGCTATCACCTTTTTCTAGAGATGAACTGATGTACTTACTACACAACTCAATTAAAGGGAAAAAGTTCCTCTTTGTAGAACTGTTGCATAATGACTGAAAATGGCTATTGCCCTTAAGAAATAATTCCCCCAAATGTAAAAAGCATCCCTAGCTTCAGCATGTGACCATTTATAAAATCACATAAAAGTTAACATATTTAATAACCATGATGGCAAATTATTAACCCTAGGAGACTCTTGGGACTACATATTTATTACCTTAGCAATATGGACTTTCCTGGAAAGATTATATGTCTGTTATTATCACCCACTACAAATGAGCACTACTGTTTATTTTACAGGTCCAAATCTTATAGGTACAAATCAAGCAGAATCTCAATGCATTCTCTTTCTTCATTGCTCCAAGTCTAATTTCAAATCACTATGCAACCAAATACGCTTTCCATCTTCCTGACGGAGAAGTGTGTGTGGGGTGGCGTCTGGGACACAACAGGGAGGTAGAAAATAAGGCAAGATGAAGCAGGTTTAAAATCTTTGCATCAATTCTCAGATTTCGCTTTGTAAAATTTTAAAGTACCACGAATAGCCACCTAAATAAAATGAGTTATTCTGGTATGGAAGCAAGTGAAAATAACATAAAAACACAGGCAATCTGCATGAGAGAAAGCCACGAGAGTGATGTACTATCTGAAGGACAGCGTTTGGGGTGGCGGCGGGGGGAGGGGTGGTGGTGATGGGGAGATAGACAAAGGGACTGAGGACAGAGCCTGAGAAAGGAAGAGACAGAAAGATGGGGCTGGCAAGACAGAGAGAAGAGAGACAGAAGTTGGGTTGAAGACAGAATAGGGTATGAGAGACAGAAACTCGCAGAGAAAGACACGCAGAGAGACAAACAGAAAAAGAGAGACTCAGAGAGAATGAGACCTTCTCATAATAATCAAGCACCATCCCAGTTTTTTTTTTAACTCCTCAACACCATTTTTTGTTGTTGTTGTTAATTTAGATTTTCAAGTCCTGGGTTTTTGTTTTTGTTTTTGCCGTGCTGCACGTGATGTGGGATCTGTTTCAAGACCATGGATCGAACCCACACCCCCTGCAGTAGAAGCATGCAGTCTTAACCACTGGACCGCCAGGGAAGTCCCTGGATCCCTGGGTATGTATATTTGAAGGCATATTTTGAGTCAGCAGGCTTGCATGTAAACATGCACATAAACTAGGCCATAATAACCCCTCCACACGTAGGGAAGACATTTTAGCATTTAACCAAATGATAATTACAGATTATTAAAGAAAATAAACAGAAAAAGGCAGTTAGGCAACCTCACTCTTGTTCTAAACAAAACTTTTATTTTCAAGGGAATAAGTCAATCAAGGGTCAGCTACTTATTAACTGGTGTTTTTCTTTCCATACATATAAAGAGAAACATAGTTTAATAAAATCTTTCCC